GAAGGAGTACAGCACAAGGGCCCTAGTATCTACGGGTGTCTTAAAACTGGACATCATCATGCACTTGAATGTATTTTAGAGAATATCAGTCACAATGCACTGCATACCTAGTAGCTGTCCATTCATGGGAGTTTTACTATGAACAACTCATAGAGGAGGAAAGAACTCAAATTGCTATAAAGATGGGTCAGCTTGATATTTTGGGTGGACCTTAAGTTCAGTCATGAAGAAAATCCACTCAATGGAAAATCTAGAAGTGGTTTGCTTAATTATTATCTCATTTGGAGGAAGAGTTGACTTGAGGTATGGAGATATATTGAGCATTGGCAAAGGAAATGGCTTAGATGGTTCTTCATGGGCCTGGAAGAAATAGACTGAAAGATTAGATGTAAGAGGTCTAGACAAGAGGTATGTGGATGGGCTTATAGGAGAGGGCACAAGTGTCTTTGAGTCGTGCCTATCAGAGGGTACATACTATAGAGGAGGCTCTCTACAATCAGGTGGACACTGTCTGTCCTCTGGATATCAGCTAGCCTCTTTTCTCAGCTACCCAGTGTTTGTGCAATAGACTCATAAAGAGAGTGGCCTTGGTGGCAGGGATGGGAGCTATGCGTTGGCCCAAAAATATGGACTAATCCTCCAAGAGTGGTATACCTATTGTGACTGCTAAATGTTAAATGTCAGCAACAGAAACTGACAATAAGGTACCATTCCTTGGGGAAACCCAACAGCTATTTGGTGGGTAGTCAGTTAAGAGGGCTCCCTTCTACCCTGAAGGAGGCAGCAATTTGCCCTTACTAAGTTGAAACATATTCTGGATATGTGTTTTCCTTTCCAACTCACAGTGCCACTGTCAGCAGCCACATCTGGCAGCTTTCAGAACGCCTGAGCTGATGATGTGGTGTTACATATAACATTGCTCCTACCAAGGGACACTTAGTATAGCAAAGAAGGTGTATAACACTGAGCTTATAATCACCGCATATCCCATCTCTCAAAAGTCACGTATCTGATAGAACAATGGAATTATATTATTAGTGAAAGGCTCAGCTAAGGCACCAGCGTTGGGAAAAAAACCTTAGGATTGGGGTTAGGATTGGGGTACTATCCTCCAGGATGAAGTGTATATGCTAAACCAATAGCTGACATAGGATGTTATAAGTGCAAGAGCTAGAATACACAGGTCTGAGAATGAGGGTGGATCCCTCATACAATCAATCTCAGTGACTCACTTGTGGTATTTCTGCTTCTGTTCCTTACAACCTTAAGAAGTGGGGAGATGGGACAGTTCTTTCAGGGGACTTGTAAGAATTCCTCTGAACTGGAAACTGTGACAGTCATCTGATCACTATGTGCTCCTTATCACAATGGACCAACAAAGTTAGTAAGAGATTACTATACTCGTTAACATAAGGAGATAGGGTTACTGCTAAACAATCGGAGCAAAGGGAGATGTGTTTGGGACTCAGAGGTGCTCCATGCTCAGATGTGAATGGAAAATTGAAGCAACCAATAGTCTATAAGAACAAGGAAACAAAGAGCTTTAATCTCCAGGTATTAAGGTCTGGGTGACCCCACAAAGCAGTAACCCAGACCAGCTGAAGCACTGGTAGAGTATGAAGAAAATCTGGAATAAGTGGTTGAGGACGTTAGTGATTAAGAACCCAAGGATCAACCAAAGCGTTCGATATTGTAGCCTAGCTTGCTACCTCTCTAGTCTTTGGATGATTGTAATTGATACATATGTATATATATATATATATATATATCCTATCTGGACGTAAAACCCAAGAGGTTGCCTGTCCTGGGCCAAATTTATGTGTTTTTCTATGTTTTTATACAGTGGATCAACCCTAAGTGTGTTCAAGTTTTTGACCACTTAGTAAAAATCGCCAGACATTGCCACCATTGTCATCTTATCTCCTAACATCCCTTGTTGCATTAGCCTCGTTCAATGCGAAGGCCAGTCTTTAGCATGCCTCCATTAGCACCTACTGTGGAAGGTTCCTCCAGAGTGGCTGTGGCACCCATTTCTGACTAGACCAGACCCAGGAAAGTTGTATATCAGCTGGTGTCTGGCTTCCCCAGTAGCTACCCAGAGGGACCAGATATAATGTAAAGTGGAGGAAGTTAATGTCCCATACTCAAAAAACCAAACCCACTGCCATCGAGTTGATTCCAACCCATAGCGACCCTATAGGACAGAGTAGAACTTCCCCATAGGGTTTCCAAGGGGCACCTGGGGGATTCAAACTGCTGACCTTTTGGTTAGCAGCTGTAGCTCTTAGCCAGAGTGCCACCAGGGTTTCCTAATATCCCATAGGATCGATTATTACCAATGAAAGGTAGACAATGGTAAGGAACTGTCATATAAACGCCCTCCCTCTGACAAACTTCCATGGTTCAAACATTCCATATGGCGTATTTAGAGATGTTCTGCATTACCAAGTAACCAGCCATGGTTTCTTGTGAAGGTCTGTCCAACTCAGTAATGCACCACTTGGTGTCTGCTTTCGCTTCTTTCCTGCATCACTTCCTCTTACCTTGCTCTTGCTGGCCTGACATTAACAGATAAACTTGATCTCAGACTGTTTTCCCAGAGAACCTAGAATAAGATGCAAAGCAAAGTTTTTAAACTAGGTAGTTTGTATTCACGGAGCAGCAAATTTAAAATATACAGTTAAGAATATATAGCTCTAGGCTTCCTGATTGAAAAGTTTATTGATTTTAGTACACATAGTATGTTTCTCTTATCTATTTTACTTTATTTCATTTTTTTAAAACTTATAGCTACTGTCTTCCTCTGCCCCATGTAGTTTTATAACTTTTTTGTTGCTCTACTCTGGTTTACTATATCTTTATCCTATAGTTTGTCTATATTTTAACTTTTCTCGATCCAAAGAGACCATGTATTAATTCTTTGTCTCTTTCAAAGTGTGTACCTATTCAGAGCCATCCTTTCACAAACCAAACAGTGCATGCCAGATTTCATATGTGTATTCCTCTATATAAATTGTGACATATTGGAAGAGTGCAACAAATTTTAATCAACAGTCTGTGAACTCCACCCAGCTTAATCCTGCATAACATCAGTTTTCTGACCACATTTTGCCAGACTTCTCTAAGGCAAGGAGATATACAACACCCCAGTGTCTCACAATACAGTCGGGGCTTGCGCTGTCACTTTTGCTCCCTTCCTTCATCCATCTCACTTTAATTACTCTTTCTGATAAGGATTCAGAGACGACGAAGTATAAACTCATGGTGCACCCATTAGTATTAAACAGGAATACTTAACTAATTGTCCCACGTCAACTGTTTTCAGGAAGTAAAGACTAAAATGTTACAAACATTGAGTAAGATGATATATCACACTTCCTATCGCTCCCAGTTTTAATCTACAGCTCAGACTCTTCTAGACTTGGACATCTCAACTTTTTGGATTTGTTTATTTGTATCGGTTGTTGTTCTCGTTTTGTCCTGGATTTAAATGTCCAGTATTATGAGTCGGAATTAACTCGGCAGCAACAGGTTATTTGAGTGAATAGAGAGACCCTGACTCTCCAATTCTTTGACCTTCCCTCCCACTCCCCTTTGGTCACAACCTCTTTTTATCTCATTGTCTACTGGTTAATTACTGCTTCACCCATTAATATTGTGCTATGAAAGCTAAGCTATGGAAAAGCTGGGATGAGATTAATGTTCACAAAAGTTGTAACGACCATAGATGAAAGATGCAACAATACTACATTGCATCCCCATTGAAACAAAACAAAGGCAGCTACAAACATCTGAATGCAAGTCACATTTTGGCACACCATCCATTATTCTTATATTTAACAGAATGTTGAAGATATCACATCTTCTGAATTTATTAGCTTGGTATTTAGCATGTTTCACAGCCAAAATAGGAAAGAAGGTTCATTATTCCTGGTTAAATTAGCCTCATGAAAATGTTGTTGGTAAAAGGTTACAGAAATGAATAAGAGTTCTAACCATGCAGCATGTTAGATCATTTATCACTATAATTTAAAAAGGCATTCTGATGATTTAAATTCACTTGGCTAAAGGGTAGAGATTTAGATAAAAGTTAATAATTAAAATTTAAATGGCATGATTAGCTCTTCCTTTTAAAAAAGAGTAGACAAAACATACGTATAGAGAATTTACCTAATCAAATTGTTTCTTGACGGAAATTGAGGCCAATGAAATCATACTTATTATCATGTATTTATTAAGTGGATTTAAAAAAAATTTATATCATTTATTTATTAACAGTAGAGGCCCTGGTGACACAGTGTTTAAACGCTCAGCTGCTAACCGAAAGGTCAGGGTTTCGAACCCACCATCTGTTTTGAGGGAGAAATATGTGGTAGTCTGCTTCCATAAAGATTGTGGAGCCCTGGTGGTGCAGTGGTTAAGAGCTCGGCTGCTAACCAAAAGGTGGGCAGTTTGAATCCACCAGCCACTCTGTGGGACCCTATGGGGCAGTTCTACTCTGTCCTGTAGGGTCGCTATGACTTAAAATCGACTGAACGGCAATAGGTATTTATTAACTAGGCTTATCGTTTTTTAATTTTACAGTTACATTGGATATAAACTGTATTATGTGGGTATCTCAGGTTAATGTCAGACTTAGTCAGATAGTCTTTCCCACATCATTTGATTTTGGATGGTTGAAGCTAGAATTTAGCCATCTTTCTGCTGAGGTTTTAATGTTTGCTTTTAAGCTGAATGACATCTCTATTAAAATATTAAGTCTTTACAATCTTTGTGAAAATTCTGTAAGTGGATTTGACCTATAATTTTGTTGACTCTTTTGGCACACAGAATTTTTTAATGTTCTTGTGGTCTAAACTAATGATATTTTCCTTTGTGTTAAAATGATATTTTTTTCCAATAAGCTCATAGGGTTTTCCTAAAAGGATTGGTGAAGCAATTTCTTATTAATTTGGCAACCCTGATTAAGGCTTACTTTCTCCTCTTTTCCTTCTAAACAGAAACCAGGAAATAAAAGAACTTGGCGAGCTTTCTCCACACTGGGACAATCTAAGGAAAAATGTCCTTAGTCACTGTGATCAAATGGTCAATATGTACCAAGATATTCTGACAGAACTGAGCAAGGAAACAGGTGTGAAAACAATAATTTTATTTACTCAAACTGAATTGCATTTCATGTATGTTACGTGAAAATAATAATAAACATCATTGTTATGAGGATAGGAGAGACAAAGATGAAAAAAATAAGTAAAACTATTTTATTTCTAACTGTACCATCTTGACATCTAAAACAAGGAAGAAAAAAAGTTGTGCTATTCTGCAGCATGTTGTTATTATAAGAATAATTGCCTTTTTTAAAAAAATTGTATTTCTGAGACTAAAAGCAACTCATAAGTGCAGGATATGTTTATCTTTCTAAAGTTCTTATTAAAATTTTTCTCTGCCAATTTTACAATTCAACACACACACGTATTTATTTACTTAGTTATTTTCGTTTGTTTATTTACTAATAACAATCAATTTTTGTTTTTCATCCAGGGTCTTCTTTCAAATCAAGCAGCAGCAAAGGAGAGAAAACATTAGAATTTGTTCCAGTAAATCTACATCTACAAAGAATGCATGTGCATAGCCCTCACTTGAAAGGTATTATATATTATTCTTTTCCAAATGGTAATGTTATGGTATAGGGTGTACTTCCTTTAAAACTTGTCCATTGGCGATTTTAAAAATTTACCAGTTGTGTAAAGATGAAGATGAAACAACTGAAGCTGATATGACCTTAAATACTACAGAAGTGACTATTATATTTTTGCTGCTGTGTTTCCGTGCAATATTTTGTGAATGTGGTACCTGAATTGTGTTACAGGTGAAAATGCAAAATGAGCATCAACTTAGGTAGTATTAATGATGGCTAATAGCTGCAATGCTGTTAGAATAGATGTGCTGTTGAAGTGAGACATGCATTGCTGTTAGAATTAGAAGAAAGTAAAAAAAAAAAAAAAGAGAAGAGAGAGAAATAAGAGATGAGAGTTGTTCATTTTCTACTTACTTTGAGAAACCAAAGCCCAGAGGTGCCTTATATGCATTTTCTCTGACTTAGTGGTGAATATCAACATAGTCATCCAATTCCTACGAAAACAAGGGAATGTAGTGGTAGTTTACTGGGTAGGAAACGGTAGAGTATTTTGATGTATTCAGTTGTGAAAAGTATTTTTCAGAGAGAAGTGTATAAATATTCATGAACCTACAGGATAGGGTTCAGTGTGAATGATACAGTATCATTATTTATTACCATTCTCCATAATTCCTTGCCATTTCTCTATAAAATATATCTTAAAATATTCTTGTTATTTCCCTTTTTCTTTTACTTATTATAATTTTTATGCACATTTAAGGGGAGTGTATGCCCTAGTTTGCCAATAAAAGTCCCATATTGACTCTTGGCCCAGCATACTTGTTTATAGTGCCCCCTCCTTTCCTCTGAAAGCTCTCCCTGTTTGAGTAATAAATGCTATGATGACTTTAATAATATCCGTCTTCCTAGGTGGCCAAAAATGACTTTATATCATCATATCCTTCATGATAAGTTCACCTACACATGCATACAGGTATACACATACATAGACACCTATAGATGCATTCTGACACAATGTTTTTTAGCCATTGTCAAAATACAGTGGTTACATATTTGGAAAAGTTAAACTGAAATCTCTGTTCTGCTTTAGAATCACCTGAAGTTTTATAATGAGGAAAATGAAACATTCACAAGTTTTTAAGTTTGTGTAAAGGAATCATGTATACACAACCAGCTGATGAGCAAGATAAACTGTGTGTAATCATTCTGGTGTATAATTTTATCATCTTTAGGAAATTTTATCACCTGTCTATAATTTTAACTTAGATCCTTCTCATCAGAAATTATGCCAGATGAAAGAACTAAGAGATAAATGGGATGGATTGGCCAAGGCATTTAAGAACTTTTCTTTGATTACTGACTGTCTGTCAATAATTCCAGAACCCTGGTAGCACAGTGGTTAAGAGCTCAGCTGCTAACCAAAAGGTCAGCAGTTTGAATCTACCAGCCACTCCTTGGAAACTCTATAGGGCAGTTCCACTCTGTCCTAAAGGGTCACTATGAGTTGGAATTGACTCAATGGCAACAGTTTGGTTTGGTCAATAATTTGAACATAATATAGTAAAACCTGTAAAAGCCGGAAATTGTGTAAAGAGGAAACTTGTCAGAGAAGGAAAACTCAAATATTTTCCACTAAAACGAGTGATACAAAAGTGGTTAGACTGCACCCTGTCAAAGGCGGAAAACTTGCAAGACCTGGAAAAACGAGGCAGTCTCATCAAGTTCCAGCTCTCACAGGTTTCACTGTCATATATTACATAAATTATCAAAAATCATCAAATGATGGTTTAAAAATCATCAAAAGCTAAAGTATCAACGAGTTATAAAGAAGCTAACATACATAAGATCTATCCAACAACCAACATAAAATTTGTCTAATAGCCACTATGTAAAGTCCTTTATGATATAGTAAAAAAGTTTATAGGAGTGAAAAAAGTTTATAGGGGTTGAATTGCAGCTCTGGTACTTTTTATATATGATCTTAAGTTTGTTATTTCATCTCTCTAAGCAATGTTGATTAAATGAGTTAGAGTATGCAAGACACCTAGAACCATACAAGAATAGCAGTTTATTATTATTGTTATACACATGCCATTTGCCATCACCGGATCAAAATGGATCCATCAGCTTTATCACGGCTGTTAAAATTGGAGAATGGTGATCATTTAAGAGCCTGTTAAGGGACGATGAAGTTTTGAACTAAGTAGCCAAATTTAGAGATAAGATGATTTAGAGAGGCATTTTGATTTTGGAGAAATCACATCACTTGCTAGTGCTTAATGAATGATGGAACGAGGAGATGAGAGAAAAGGATACTGGGGTTTCAGCTCTGGGTAGATGGCAGTGTTGTTAAACCAGATAGTTTTATTTGGGCCAAATTAACATTAATTTGCATTTAAATATTCAGTCAAATATTTGGTGATGATCCTTAATATACTTTTATCAGATAATTTATTAATAATAAGAATAAAAAAAAATGTAGACAGCCTTTAAATAACTCACCATGAAATACCAAGGCTTGGCCAATCTTATATGCATCATTACCTTGCAAAATGTTCTCTGTAATTCAGCTAAACATTCAAATCAGTAACCGTTGATCTTAAATAAATTTAACTTCAATTCAAAATCTGTTAAATATATATTATATAAACAAATAGCAAATTTGACTACTATCTATTATAACTTTATAACCCTTTTTTATTTGCAAATTAGAAAAGCTAAGTTTCTTATTTTCAAAGATAAATTATGATCTAAGTGGCTTTTTACTTTATGCTTTTTTATTCAAGACCAACAAACCATCTTCACTGTGCTGTTCTTCAAGGTACTAGCTGAAAAATAGGCTAGCATAAGCTACGATGAAGAGAATATGTTTGCTTTCGCCAAATTGAAATGAAGAAACTGGTAACTAAAAGAAGGGAATTTAGAAAAGCAAATGTTATGGATTGAACTGTGTCCCCCAAAAATGTGAGTCAACTTGGATAGGCCATGATTCCCAGTATTATGTGGTTGCCCACCATTTTGTGATCTGATCTGATTATCTTATGTGTTGTAAATCAATATGATGTTAATGATGTAAATCAATCAATAATGTTAATGAGGCAGGATTAGAGGCAGTTATGTTAATGAGGCAGGACTCAAGCTACAGGATTATGTTGTATCTTGAGTCAATCTCTTTTGAAATATAAAGGAGAGAATCGAAGAGAGAGAGAGGGACCTCATTACCACCAAGCAAGAAGAGCCAGGAGCACGTGTATCCTTTGGACCTGGGGTCCCTATACTGAGAAGCTCCTAGACCGGGGAAAAATTGATGACAAGTATCTTCCCCCGGAGCTGACAGAGAGAGAAAGACTTCCCCTGGAACTGCCACCCCGAATTTGAACTTCTAGTCTTCTAAACTGTGAGAGAATAAACTTCTGTTTGTTAAAGCCATCCACTTGTGCTATTTCTGTTATAAAAGCACTAGATAAGTAAGACAGCAAACAAAAGTTTTTTTTCTGATAGTTTGTTTTGGGATATATAAAGGAATTTCTTATTTCTGATGACAAAGATCAGCAATAGAGGAAAAAAAACAAGATTTTTATGCTAGATAAATAGGGAACAGCTAATAAGCTAGAGGATTTTTGACATAGCAGATAACAGACTAGTTCTTATTTTGAAGACGTAAGAGAAAATGGGGGAAAGGACTAAATATCCTAACAGCCAAGAATTAGTGTAAAAGGTACTGAAATGTATTTCATACTTTCTTTTTTCATGGCTATTCATATGTATAATATATAGAAGTACACCCACTCCTCACTTACTGACATGGTTAGGTTCCAAAGACCTGGTCATTATACGAAAATCGATGTTATGCAAAAATAGAGGATGACCACATGAGATCACAAAATCGAGGGTGACTACTTCATTACATAAGTGCCAAATTATGTCATTACATAAGTTCCAAATTACATCATCACATAAGTTCCAAACTGCATCATCATTTACATAACTGCCAAACCATTGAGAATCACGGCCCAGCCAAGTTGACACGTAACCTTAACCACCACAGCCAGCATTACTCTTCTCTCGCAACTTGGCATTCTTTACTGCAAGGTATACGTCATTAATGCACAAGTTAGTCCAATAGTAGATTTTTTACTTTTGTTGTAAATGTGAAATGTTGGATAACGAGACAGTCAATAAGTGAGGTGTAGGTGTATATGATATAAATACCATATGCATGCAATTCAAGCGTATCTATTTTTTTAATTATGATTTTATACTAGTTTGCAATTTATTATTATTTTTTAATTTTATTTTTATTGTTCTTCAGGTGAATG